CATGGGAATGGGATTGAAGATCTACTGTGAGTAACCCTTTAGGGATTTGTGAGGAACTGTTTTTACTATGAGGAATCTGGCTGACAGTGGCATTTTACATAGCTAAAAGGATGTCAATGCTGCCATGAAAAACACTATTCCTTCGCTCAGGTGGATTCCAAGGAAAAACTGAGACTGGCACACTTCTTGTGCCACTGCCTATCATAGGCAGATGCTCCATCTTTTCCCAGTAATAAAATGGGGATACTGACACTGGCCTTCTCTGACAGTGATTGAGACTTAATTCATGTTTTTAAAGCTCAGTGAAATGTATACATAGGGCCATTGGGTATACATACAGGAAAGAGTTTAAGTAGCTAAAGGGTTAAACTGGGGAGGCAAGGCAGAGGAAGAGAAGAAATTTCCAATGAGGAGAGGGGCTGAAGGATTTTATGTCATTTAAGTTCTTCCCATTCTCTCCAAATCAAGAAGACGCTGGAGTTGCCTTCTTCACAGTGCAGACTATGACCAACATGAATTTCCCCAAAGCACAAGCACACACACACAGTGGAGCTGATCCTTTCAGTAGGGTTTAGGAAGCAGTCTCTTCATCCCAGTGCCAGGGGAGACCCTGTTCTTCCAGCCAGGCATGCTGATATGTGTAGTGTCTGAGCTGCACCTCCCCTAGAGATGAAGGCAGCTGTAGGCTGCATTGTAAAAACTGTGTAGGCTGCTCTTTGGCCACTCCTGGGATACGTAGTTTTGGCTTTAGTTTTCCCAGGCTGCAGCTGCAAAACGTCTGCTTTGAACAGCTTCATTTAATATCCTCGGCTTGCTGCCTTTAGGTCTAGTGCTGCTAAGGAACATGTTACAGCAGGGCACCTGGGTTGTGGCATGTGCCAGAACCTGCCATTTAGATTTCCCCTGTTTTGTTACAGGTCTTAAGGAAACTCTTTCAGTACTTGCCCTATGTTAGAGCACAGAGCATGGAAGAATGAATCTCCTCTCCCTTCCTCCCATCACCGACACAATGAACAACACATGACTCGTAAGGGTCTAGCTGACTAGAGGCTCTCTGCTGTTGAGTGTGTCATGGACATTAATGGAATAGTCTCACACAAGCCCTCTGGTCGAAAGAGAGGAACAGTATGACCACCCCGCCCACTATATAGATGAAAAAGCAGAGGCGTGAAGAGGCTAAGAAAAGTGTCTAAAGCCCTAGCAGGAGCCAACTATAACAAAAACAGCCAAATGATCGGGGATGGGGAGAGCTATGGAGTAAGGATGTTAAATTGCGGTTAATTTACGAGTCAAGTAGTCGATAGAATTTCCATCGATTACTCGACTAGTCCATAAGCACCTCCACATTCCTCCTTTGACATGTACAAGAGCCCTGCTGGAGGTTATACATTTCAAAGGAGGAATGCGGAAACACAGGTGCAGCCCAGAGCCAGCTGGATGTCCCACTGACTCCAGGCTGTACATGGTGAGCCAGCTTTGAAATGTACAAGAGTCCCCAGTGGGGGCTCTTGTGCATTTCAAAGTGGCAGCTCAGCATGGAGCCCAGGGTCAGTGAGTCACTTAGAGTCCCCTGCTGACCCCGGGCTCCATGCTGCACTGCTGATTTGAAATGCCACGTGGAGCCCAGGGTCAGCTGACCCTGGGAACTCCCCAGCTGACCCTGGGCTCCAAGCAGCATTTCAGCAGAACCTAGGATCAGTTGGGGACTCGCCAGCTGACCCCGGGCTCCAGGCATCACTACCACTTTGAAATGCCGCCTCGGCATTTCAAAGGGGCAGTGCTGCATAGCTGATCCTGGAATCAGCTGTGCGGCACTGGCCTTTGAAGTACCTCCTTTCTTCCCCCCTTTGCTGCCTCTATCAGATAGAGGCAGCAAGTGGGGGGGAAATTGACTAGTCAACTGACTATCTGACTAGTCTTTAAGGGTATGTCTACACTACCCCGCTAGTTCGAACTAGCGGGGGTAATGTAGTCATCCGCAATTGCAAATGAAGCCCGGGATTTGAATTTCTCGGGCTTCATTTGCATAAAGCCGGCCGGTGCCATTTTTAAATGCCGGCTAGTTCGAACCCCGTGCCGCGCGGCTACATGCGGCACGGAGCCAGGCGGCTGGGAGTAGCTAGTGCGGATTAGAAGCCTAATCCGAACTAGCTGTACTCCTCGTGGAATGAGGAGTACTGCTAGTTCGGATTAGGAAGCCTAATCCGAACTAGCTACTCCGTGCCGCGTGTAGCCTCGCGGCACGGGGTTCGAACTAGCCGGCATTTAAAAATGGCGCCGGCCGGCTTTATGCAAATGAAGCCCAGGAAATTCAAATCCCGGGCTTCATTTGCAATTGCGGATGACTACATTACCCCTGCTAGTTCGAACTAGCGGGGTAGTGTAGACATACCCTAACATCCTTACTATGGAGCTGTTTTTCAAACTGGCTGATGGCAAGGGAAGTAACTGGGGGAAAAGGAGCAGAATCCCAAGGGCAGGATGTTCTCGTTCATAGCAGGTATAATTTGTGTTCAGTGCCTGCAGCAGGGAGACCCTGGTTAGCACTTACTTTGATCTCTAGCAACAGCAGATTCTAAAGGCAGGTTCCTCTATTGAGAACACTGGTGAGATCCCCCCTAGGAACTGTCCAATACAGTTGATGCATCAGGGCACACAGAGAGACAAGGCAGCTGGTGACAAGGCATGAAAAAGAAGGGTGAGGCCCTTGAATTTCAGTGGCAGTATGTGTAGAGTGCTGAGGTAGGCAGCTCATCATGGTCTGCCCTGCCTCTAAGGAACAGTGCAGCTTAGGCTAGCTAACCATTGGACAAGTTACATTTTGTACATGCTAGGCCTATGCTGGAGCTCATGACTGCTCAGCTGATAAAGGAAATAATCTTCAGCACACACCCATAGCACCTCTTACATGAGTTAGACAAGACAGCTTGACAAAACTTCAACTAATTGCAACCTGTGTCTCTAAAAGTCTCCTGCAGTTTCAGTGGGATCTGAGAGTTTCCTGACTTCCTGGCCTAGCCTGTTGCACAATATTGGTGTGTGGCTGTTAATCAGCTACTGTGTTACACTGCACAGGGGATGATGTTGCAATGGTGAGTGAGTGAATTGGTCCTTCTATGTAGTGTATATAATTACTTGGAATCCTCTAGCATGAGAATCCCTCTGAGAGCAGCTGGCGGGATACCTGATTTTCATGAACAGTTATCTCTATTTGGTAGGGAGGGGAAAGAAAAGAAAAAGCCTTTCCACTGTGCATACCTTAATACTGCGTGTGTGCTACTCATGCCACAGGAACGAGAGATAACAACTGAGACACCAGCTTAAATCCCGGGAGAATTCCATGTCCAGTAAGCTTCACCTACTAACCTCAGAGGCATTTGTGGGTGATGAGCTGGACATTCATAACCCCCATGCTATGTAATGGGTGAAATGTAGATTTTTGGTAATAGCTTGTTTAATCCCACTGGCCTAAAAACAGACTCCCTGCCCTACAGTGTTGCTGTTCCTTCTCCCCTACATACTGACACCTGCAAGCAGCACAGAACTTTCACCAGCTATCACAGTGCAGGAGTGCCTGATACCAGCAGTACAAATTCAGATATTCCTTGGGAGGGGGCAAATACTGGTACTTCCCCCAGCAGGGGCTCTGTTCTGGTTCTCACACATCCTGCCCCCCTTCCACGGTGAGCACAGGTCTCCCTCGGCCAGTGAGTTTTCCCCTTTTACCAACAATGCACACGCTGGTTCTGCCAGGAGACAAAATCATGTCAGACTCCGCTGCAGTCTGATGTACAGTGAGAGAATCTCTGTGCATCAGGCTGTAACATCATTTGGCCTGGTTTCCCTCTGCCTGGACTAAGGGATGTCTGGGCCAAATTTCATTGTGGTTGCAACCCGGTGCATCCGATCACAATATCATTTACTCAGAATTGGCCCAGTTTCCCTCTGTACAGCTGGATTAAATGTCAGTGGTACTGCAAGCATGTAACTGGACTAAAGCTTTGGTAGTACCTATACTGATTAAAGAAAGGACAACTGCTTGAAAGTGTTTGGTCCAAGACCCCTCTGTCTTCTAACCACTGGCTTGGCAGACTATGGAACTTGAAGTACATGCAAAAACCTTGTGGCAGCCTGAAAACTTTCCATACAGTAGCAACTGAACAAAGCAAGGGGGTTGCTATTGGACCTTTTAATGCTTCTGACAGAGGCTAAAACTTTCACTGATTTTCGGGTTCCCAACTTCTTGTACATTGGGCCTCACATTCACAGTGGCTAAGCACTTGGAGCTCCAATTTGAAGTCACTGGGAATTGCAATTGCTCAGAACCCATGGAAAAAATCAGCTCAAAGTAAGTCAGGTAGGTAATCACAATCTGCAGCCATATATGGAAAACTTGGAGCAAAGAACTTTGATGCTCACTGTGTAATTCCGATTTTGTGCACCACAGTACAAGGTATAAAAAAAATATACAGTATATAAGAAATGGAAGAAAGATTAAGTTGATAATAATGAATATAAATCAGAAGCTAAGCACTGTAAAACATTGATAAGGGAAGCAAAGGGACTCTGAAAAAGTTTGGGGGGATTATGGTAAAAAATCAGCTGAATCTCAGATCTCATTGTGATGCTGTGGCCAAATTACAAATATAATCCTTGGATGTATAAACAGGGAATACTAAGAGCAGGCGAGAGGTTATTTTATCTCTGTATTTGGCACTGTGGCAATTGTAATGCTGTGTCCAGCTCTGGCGTTCACAATTCAAGAAGGATGTTGATAAACTGGAGAGGGTGCAGAGAAGCATCATGAGAATGAATAAAAGGGTTAGAAAATGTGCCTTTTAGTGATGATCTCAAGGTGCTCTTTGCTTGGGGAGAAGTAGCATTAGGGGAAAAGCTTGTCCTGCTACTATCCATGGATAGAGGGCGTCAGTCTACGGAGCCTTTAGAGCAGCCCCCTGAAGAAGGCAGGCAGGGCTTGCAGAATTCCCCTCAGAACTCACCTCACTTTTCACAGGCTGGGACCTTTTTCCAAGTTTTACCTCCAGGAAATGCAGTGGCGAGATCATGGCCCCAATGTTGCGGATGTCAGCGTACTTCAGCTCTTCCACCGTCAGGGTGGTGCCAGGGAGTCCCGTCAAAGGGCCAAGCCCTGGCAGAGCGCCAGCTGTCAGGGATGGATCTGGAATCTGCCCTGGCATCATAGCAGGGAAAGCAGCTCCAGGCTCTAGGGAGAGACCAAGACACGGGCCATTAGCCATGGAGTCCCACAAACTGGAGAAAGCACAGCTTACTCCAGAATCCAATAGGGTCTGAATAAAGGGGAGCAGCTGCTCTCTCCCTTTCTGCTCTCACTCCTATACCTCAGGAGCACCAGGTGTCAGGGCCACTGAGCTAATCTGTTATGAAGGCTCTTTCCCCACATCTCTGTGATGCTACTGAGGAGGTGAAGAGACATGTACAATCTCAGAACAAAGAAGAACCAATTCCCCTTCCCTGTGCTCTGATGCTGCAATTTGAGCCTGTGTCAGAGTAAGTGCATTTCATCCCACCCTTCCCATCACAAAGAAACACCAAAAAGGCCATTGTACTCCCATTCCTTACAAAAGACAAATGTGCTTGAGGAAGAGATACCATTCCCCAGTGTTACCACTCCTTGTATATTGTAATTGGTGAGCCACACTCAAGTCCCAGAAGGAACGCAGCACAGACACAAAATCTACCAACATTTGAGAGTCCTCCCACAAGAACTCAGTCACGACCAACTCTGACAGTTACATTATCAACTAGAGAAACAGCCCCAGCTATACCATGGCACCTCCCACTCCCCAGCTATGTGGCCACACTGAGTAGATTAAAACACACTAAGGGTATGTGTAGACTACATGGCTCCATCGACGGAGCCATGTAGATTAGTTTACTAGACATAGGAAAATGAAGCAGCGATTTAAATAATCACTGCTTCATTTACATCAAAATGGCTGCCGCGCTGTGCCGATCAGTTGTTTGGCGGCACAGCACGGTAGTCTGGATGCTCCGCGGTCGACAAGGGAAGCTCTTGTTGACCGCCCCATTATGCCTTGTGCGGAGCGTCCAAACTACCGCACTGTGCCGCCAAACAGCTGATCGGCACAGCATGGCAGCCATTTTGATGTAAATGAAGCAGTGATTATTTAAATCGCTGCTTCATTTTCCTATGTCTAGTAAACTAATCTACATGGCTCCGTCGACGGAGCCATGTAGTCTAGACATACCCATAGTGAACAGTAACAGTGTATACTGCAGAGAGCCTAGAGTAAAAAAGGAAAGGGCTGCAGATAAGGGGCTTTGTAAACACCAGTATCAATTGGTAACTAGTTCCTCTCAGGGAAGGCTGCAGTGGAGAGAGGCAGAGCAGGAAAAGAGGCACAAGAATAACTATACTTGTAAGACAAAAACTAGTCAGGTAGCACTTTACCAGACCAGTTTTTGTTTTGTAAGTTTATCCTGTACAGACTAACTCGGCTACCCCCTGAAGCTTCTATACGTCTAAGCTTCTAGCACTACTGTGTAAGACATGGTTGGAATATTGCAAATCCTGACAATGAATGATAGAGGGAAAGTTAGGTTTGGTCATAGAGGCTTGGGAGCCTCCACAGTGTTCCCCACAGAGGAGTCCACAATCTCCTTGAGAGAAAATACCTACAAGAGGAGGAACATCAGGCAGAACCTATGTGAATAAAATCCCTAGGTCAAAAGAAATTAACTCTAGCAGGAGGGGCACATCTGCAGATCAGAATGGGAAGAGAAATCAGACAGAGACAACAAAAGACAAGAGTGTTAAAGGGCAACTTCAGCTACTTAGAGGTCAATGGATCAATGGTTCCTTCAGGATGTGCTCTGGAGAACAATGTCTTGATACTACAGGTGACTGCTTCTTGAAACATCTTGTTCAGGATCTGACAAGATCAGAGTCTACTCTAAACATAGTTCTAAGTAATTTTCAGGCATTGGTGCAGGAAGTATATACCAAGGAGCCATCAACAATTATGATAATATGCATTGATTATAACATCCTCTACGGAGGAACAAACTGACAGCCTGTGAAATTTAAGAAGGGGGACTTTTCCTGACTGAAGATAAAGGAAAATGCTAGGAACTAAAAGACACAGAAACAGCATGAAGGCTGCATAAGACTAACTTAGAATCACAGATGAGATCCGTTCTCCAAAACAAACAAAAAGAAAGGAAAAATCCTCAGATACAAGAGTTTATTTTGGCCAAAAACAAATTAAAAAGTGGGGGGGGGGGCGAGGGAGAGAAATCCAAGCCAGGTGAAGCAAATAGACTGGGGCAAACTCTGGCAGGTCAGTTACAAGCTGAAGAATGAGGAGAGCTAAAAGGAAATATGAAAAGGAGCTAATCTATTAAAAAGAATAAGAAGTTCTTTAATTAGATGAGAAGAAGGAAGACCATGGAAGAGTGCATGAGTTCTGAGACCAACAGAGTATACAGAGAACAACTGGGTACCATCTACACCAGGGGTAGGCAATAATTTTTGACTGGGAGCCACTTCAGAAATTTTTGAAGTAGCCCTGGGCCATCCTAGAAGGGGTGGGGCCAGGACACTTCCGTGCTTCCCCACCCACAGACTGGTCCCCCACCCACAGACTCGGGGTAGGGGGAGCATGCAAAGTCTTTGCCCCCCCGCCCCAGAGAGAACCGCCAGCTGTTTTGAACAGCTGGAGGTTCCCTCTAGGTACTTGTGCCTCTAGTGATGGGAGGAGACTTTGCGTGCTCCCCCCGCTGCCCTCAGGTCAATCAGGGCCTGGGGAGAGGTAGCATGTGAAATCTCTTGCTCCCTGCCCCAGCTGGTGGTTGACTTTAAGTGCTGAGCCCCTTGCAACGCCGGAGGAGACTTCACACACTCCCCCTGCCCCCAAGCCCCAATTGGCCTGAGGGCGAGGGGAGTGCATGAAGTCTCCTCCCACCCTGCCCCTGTACTGCAAGGAGCGTGTGGTACTTAGAAGCACCGCACCCCTTGCAAGGCAGGAGGAGATTTCACGCACTCCCCGTGCCACCAGACCAATCAGGGCTTGGGGGCAAGGGGAGCACACAAAGTCTCCTTCCACCCTGCCAGGAGTTCACGGCCCTTCTAAGTGCTGCTCACTTCTTGCAGGTTGGGGGCAAGGTGGGAGGAAACTTTGTGTGCTTCCCCCCTACCCCCAGACCCTGATTGGCCTGGGAGCAGCAGGGCCTCTGCGGGTGGATCAACTCACTTGGCAGGCCAGATCCAGCCACGGAGGCCTTTTTGCCCATCCCTGATCTACACTGTAACTATATTTGTATTTCTGTAACAAGGCCAATGCTTACAAATGACCAAAATTACAACATACATAGAATCACAGAACTGGAAGGAACCTTGCGAGGTCTAATCCAGTCCCCAGCACTCATGGCAGGACCAAGCAACGTGAGGCAGTTGTGTCCAGTGTTCCCTGTACGCCATGTGCTTGTGCAGCCTCTCAGAAGATTCCAATGCATCCCAGCTGATCAGCAGAGCACTCACAGCTAGGTTTTTGTTTCTCCTGGTGATGCACATTTGCACATGCCTCAGGGCACATGGAAAAAATATTCCACACATCGATGGAAAAGTTTAGAGGGAACACATGTTGTGAAAAAAGCTACTGCATGGACACAACCAAACCACATCACCATGTTTGTGCATGACACTCATGACTTGCATAACTGGATTTGATTCTGTGCATTCTGGGAAAGTCTGGGCTTCTACCCCCACTGCCTTGGCAGACAGCATACTCAAGCCATGTACATAGTGCTAGAGAATGTGGGCAAGGCTCTCTGGCATGTCCTATTACCCAGAGAGCTGGGAGGAAGAAGGACCAGCTAAACAAGGAGCATTAGAGGGTCCCATCTACACAGTCTACCAACAATTGTAGAGCTGGTTGTATAAATTCAGCCTAGGCAGTTGTCAGGGTGCAATACTAACACCACATGGGAAATGGACAGCATGGTGGCAGCAGGTGATAACGTGACTCACATTAGAAAGAACAATTTGAAATCTTTATGCTCTCTAATATGCTCTCTTTGTGCAACCTCTAATGGAGAGGTCACATTGAGCAGTGCACAGAAGGGCATCTGCTAACCATGCAGCAACAGTCACAAAAGCAATAGTGTCTATGAACAGAAAGTAGTACTGGAAACCTGATAAGGGCATTATCGTAAGTCAGGGTGTGTCCTCTCAGAATCCAGCACTCAGCTTTGGCCACAGGGACAGAGAAGAAACAAAAAGGTAATAGAAAGGATTAGAGGTGTTCAATAAAAAATTCTCTCAGATACTAGGACATTTTTGCTTTGAAAAGAGAAAACGAATAAATAAATTATATAGTCTCAATTAATGAATAGTCTTGCTGGACTAATGCTACTTGATAAAAATGGATGTTCTTCTAATATTCCAACTTACTTGGTATAAAAGAGAAATGAGAGACAAAAAATGAAGTAATTTTATGTGGCACAGGAAGAGACAGAGTATCAGCTCATTGAGGCTCCAAAGACAGAAAACGAAGTAAGATAGTAACATCTCCATTCGAAAATTCTAGCACTGGCCAGCTATAATTCTACATGTTTAGAACTGGTTACATTTCACAGACATTCAAAACAATTCCCCCTCACCCCCATACAGCAGACCAGTGAAGCAACATATCATTCTCCTTTTATTCTTTCCAACCTGATTTATGGCTACATCATTTTGCTCCCTCAAGAGATGAGAAAATGTTCTGTCCTAGGCCCCACTCTGTCAAGTGCCAACCCCAAATTCTAATTTCCTGAATAAACTGTTCCTCTAGGTTAGAAAGGCACTAATTTAAAGAACACAGGCTGCCAAAAGGCTGTTGACCTTTGTAGACTTTTTCCAAGGCACACAACCACAGAACTTTGAACAGCTCAGAATTAATTTAATATATCTTTTGGGGACTTCTATATGTACTTACAAGTCTGACATTTCCTATCCACTGTTTTTAAAGGCAACATCATCTGGGAAGAAAATCTAAGGAAAAAAAACAAGTTCAGGAGAGCAGGCAGTTCCCCTAAGAGAGATATCTTAAAGACACAACAGCAAACTATCCCAATGAAAGGAAAAACAGAAGAGTAGTAAGAGGTCAAAATGGCTTTATCAGGAGCTCTTTAATGATGTGAAAATCAAAAAGGAATCCTACAAAGAGTGGAAACATGGAC